CATCCTTGGCCTTGCGCTTCTGCTGAGCTCGGACTTCAGTTCCGAAGTCCTGAGCCAAACTGGCAGCAAACTGAGGCTCCTTCTTCATCAGTTGGGTGAGCTGGTTGTCTCTGGCAAGGAATTTCTTGAGCTCCTGCTTGATCAGCTCAGAGTCGAGAGAGAAGTTGGGCTCGCCCTTCTTCTCGTTCTCGGGGTTCCATCGGTACAAGGGCCAGTAACCGGCATCGACAGCCTTCTTGGTCTCCTGGAGAACGGTAAGGGGTGAGTCACTCTCTCCAAAGTATGGTAGGTAAGCCAGGACAACTGAGGGACCGTTGAACTTGTCGGCCTCCATCAAGGCCTGGAGAACCTGGGTGTACGAGCTGTAGACGGCAGTAGAGGCAACGTAGACATTGCCGAAGTTCATGGCGTACAAACCAATGTCCTTCTTACGGCGTTCGGCATCGGCGGCAGCCTTCTGGGAGTATGGGGTTGAGTCGATGATGAGCATGTTGACGTTCTCTCCGGAAGCCAAAACATGGTGGACACCGGAGTTTCCGAGATCGTAGGCCCAAGCATCAGAACCAGTCAGCCAGAGCGACTCCTTTCGGAACAGGCTCTTGTTGGCAAGGAGCTTCTGGGCCAGGGGCGAACCGTCGGTCTGAAGACGGGCGATGACATCGTCAGCGACTTCCGTTGACTTGGAGGCATCATCAGCATTCACGGCCCAGCGTGCCAAGAACTTGGAGGGAGCATCAGTGATGAACTCCTTGCTCGTAGCGGCGGCCTTGGCCTCAGAAACGAAGCGGGTGCGGAGTTCCTTGCGTGCCAACAGGGAACCGAAACCGAATTCGGGGCTGGCTGCGACTGTTGCCGAGATTCCAGCGTTCTGAGACTTCAGAGCGTTTGCGACGTAGGTCCTACTGCCGAAGAGCTGATCCAAAATCTTAGTGTATGCGGTCTCAAGAGCGGGAACCTCAACACCGTACTCAGTCTTCTCTTCAGGAGCCTCCCTGACGCCAACCTCGAGGTTCTGGATGGGCTTGTCGGAGGTCAAGTTCTGGAAGATACCTCGGAGGGCTTGGCCAATGACTTCAGGGTCAACATAGCCCAGCTGGTAGCCAACAATGTGCTCAACGCCACCAGGGCCGCTCTTAATAGAGGTGAGGACATCGATCAGAAGAGGTCCCCACTTGGTGGTCTTGCGGCGGATCTGCTCCAAAACGGCAATCCTCTTGACAGACTGGGGCAGGGACTCAACAAAGTTGGTGCCAATCCAGGGCCTGTAGAGTCGAGGGGTCAGGATACCAGCCTTGGCGAAGACCTCGTCACCCTTGGCGTTATCAAGCGCTTCACCGAAGGTCCCAACATCAGTGCCAAAGATGAAAAGGCAGTTGGCAGCATCAGCAGGGCCAGAGTACTCAAAGGCGCTGTATGATCGACCAACAGCGGCGTGGAGCTGGCTCCAGATGCTAGAGGCAGTGTCGTAGATGTCCTGAGAAGTAACCTGGGGAGGGGCAAATTCGACAGTAGTGGCAGCCGAACCGGGTTGTGATTCGCCTGACTCGCTCACTTGGCTAGACTTGACGGAGGTTCCAGCAGAAGCAACCTTGGAAGCCACAGCGCTGGCAGGGACCTGGAGGCCAGAAGCCTTGGAAGCCTCGGTACTGACTGGAGGCTCGGGGTTTGCGGACAGAACGGCCGAGTGGCCATCGTCGGCATAGATTCCAGATGTGGCGATGTTAGCGGCCTGGAACCTCCTCACACTCTCGATATCGATGACGGATCTGACAGCCTCGACGTCCTCAATGGAGATTGAAGCATCCTGAGCCGAGGTCTCGGGGGCAAAGAAGTGAATTACACCCTTGCCTGTGCGAATGGCTAGCGCATGGGCAGAAATAGCCATATCCTGGGACTCCTGCAGGGTCTCGGAGTGCAGGAAGGTCCATCCCGAGTTCCTGATGGAGGTGATGACGGAGTAGTCGGCGTGTTTTCGGGGTTCGAGAGAAACATGGAGCACAACGGGGTAGTTGGCAAGCTTGTAAAGGTGAGAAATGGAAGGGATGAGGATGGTGGCAGGCGTCGTCACAGAGACGAGCTTGCCCGAGCGGATGGGGGCGTAGACGGAGAGAAGAGGGTCGGCGTTGTGCCGAACAGATTGGATCTCCGGGACCCCATTTGCGGCGACGATGCCCTGGTCATTGCGGCCGGCATAACGCTTCAGGTGGGAGGAGAAGGCCGAATCGGCAGCCAGCGAAGGCTGGACAGAGACGACGACATCGCTAGCGAGGTATGCGATTCTTGACACTAGATGGAGACCCAATTAGCATCGAATTGAATTCCATTGACCATGTTTGAACTGGAAACGGGTTGGTAGGGTTCTGGCAGGCGAGGGTGCCGAGCAATTCGGATTTCCCGCACTCGCAGCGCTGGCGAGGTGGCCGTCCTCGCTTGCGGTAGCTCCGACTGCGCTGGAAATTTTTGGAGGGGTTTTTTAAAAAAAAATTGGAGGGGCATCAGCAGCATATGCCGAAGTTCAGATACGTGTAAGTGAGGTAGAATGCAAGTGATCAAGCAGTACTTACCAGCCTCTTCAGGCGTGACAACCTTGTGTGAAGCAGCAGTCTCCATCTTGCCGTCACTCACGGAGCTGGATCGGAAGAAGAAAGACATGATGGGAAGCGTGCCTCCAGACGAGAAGTTGGTATTATAAAGGGCTCCGCTGGCTGCTCTCGGGCCGGTGCCTGGGTCAGCAGTCTTTCGCCAGCACGTCGACGGCTCACGGCGACCAGAGCGAGGAGGGAATTAGGGAGAAAATGCCTTCCAGATGGCGGAATCTACTCCACATAATCACATCTGGACCCTCATGAGGACCTGGAGCGGGAAAAAATCAAAGTTTAGAAGGGCCCCCGCAAACCAATTCCAAGCTGCGTGGTAGGCTGGAGGAGGAGGGATTGCGTGATCGACCTAGCGCTGGCAACGTCTGGGAAGGCGTCGGCGAGGACGCTCCTGCCCCCATTACGAATTGCTGCCGCCGGATTCGCAGGTCGCAGCCGGTTGGGTCGCTTGGACAACCCCACAGGGCCCTACAGCCCCTATGCGCCGCTGCAGCACAGCGCTGGCCACGGAGAGGTCACCGATGGCTTGCGCACTGCATTCGGCCGTGGTTGATCCGACTGCCGGAGCTGTTCAAAGCCCTGTGTCCCGACAGGCCGGTGATGGCACCATTCAACTACCGGATCCACTGCACGCATTCCGATGCCCGCATGATTGGTCTGTTGACCGCCAGGGACAGATCAACCGTCCTCGAGTCGTGGCATGACTGGATACATCATTAGCAAGCAACACGAAGGCGATGGGGTTTCGGCGTTTCGCTTCGGGGCTGTCCCGGCGTTGGATGCTCCGGTGTGTACCAAACTGCTGAGTAAGGGTCCAGGTCCCTGGCCTTCGGTATAATCAGATGTCGACATTGCTATATATTATTCTAATATAGTCTATGTATTGGCTGGATTATGCATAAGTCCCTATGGTCGAAAAAACGGCTCCTATCCAAATTCATCGCAGTGCATAAAAAAAAAGACCCGGAAATAAGCCACTTTCAACGTCCCCAAACACCCCTAATTCTCCCCAAACATCTAGCTCTCAAGTCACATCAGACGTCTTCGGTATATGACGAAGGGCCAGCCTTGGAGACTCTCTCTCCGGCCCATCCCTCGTCGTGCAGCTTCCCGCTGTCAAGCCAGTAACCCCTGCCGATCGAAACCATCATTCTACCGAGAGCGCCTCGTCGTCCCTCGCCATCTGGAAGTTCAGCGGCAAATGGGCCATCCTTGTCATCAACCATCACGTCAGGTCCGGCCTCCAGGATCATCAGCTGCATGTACTTCTGCAGCACCTGCTGAGCGTACGCCATGATCACCACGCAAAAGTAAACTCGGATCAAGGTGAGGAGGATGATCAGGACCATGCTTGCAGCTGTCTCGTGGGGGACAGCGGCGCCATGAAGGGCGGTCTGCTCCTTCAACGTCTCAATACCCTCCGCAACAATATCGTTAACGTTATCCGCGCTATCCGAAGCTCCCGTGGCAAAGTACCACTCGAGGCCAAAAGCGGCAGTATCGAAGGTGTTGATGATCGTATCGAGAATGTAAATCCACGCCAACATCAGACATTCAAATGGGCTCTGTTTTCGGATGTGTGGGATGAGAAAAGCGAGTGCGACCAGCACGGCAATCGAATAGAGGTAGGTCGTAAACTGTAAGAGAGACAGCTGGAAGCCCGTAAGAATTGCCAGCAATCCGTAGAATCCAGTCACTTTGTTGAACACCAGAGCGAGCGAAATCAGCTCCGTCGCCGTCTGCAGGCTGATAAAGCCAAAGAGCGTCTACGTAGAACATGTCAGCGGCCGAGTCCTCGATGGTATGATTTGGGCCGCGGGTGCGTCAAATACTTACCTTGGGGCGAGGAACCCTCAAGTACAGGCTGGTGAATCGTGACATGCTGGCAGATGTGGTTCCAGGTCTTGGTTCAGAAGGATAGTAACGAGTGAGACCACAGCTAGGAGGGAATTCGGGGGTTAAAGGCAGCACGCGACAAAGAAATCCTGCATTGGTGACGTCGGAAATTGATCCTTGGCTCTCCTCGCCTGATTAAACGAGCCCCACCTCAACCCGGAGGTACCGGTCACCTTAAAATCACCGTAGAATACGGATACGTACGCCCATAACGTAAGAATCATCACGTGCAGTCAGCAAGGCTACAATCCATGTCGATTAATCGGCCTGTATTAAGAACCGAAAGCCCGGTTATTTGGGTCGAGGCTTGGGATTCAGGTGTTCTTGAACAAATAGTATGTAGCGATCGTAGTCTCGTTTCTTCTTTTGACCGTATTATACAAGTCCCATGATCAGCCCTCCCGCTATGCTGGATATCCTACTAAGGACATGAGCCCCCATTACTTGTTGTATCATGTCTGTTCCGTATAAATGCGTTATGCGTCGGCGCAACGGTGCCAACCAACTTCAACAAGCACAGCCCTCCTGGTTGGCAGGCGTGTTGTTGGTCTTGACATCAATCACTATGCAGGTGTGAGCAATTCCGGCTGCCTAATAATGATTCCGGGGTAACAAAGGGGGGACTTACTCTGGCTTGATGCTTGAGCTGCTGCATCAGAGCCCTCCATTCCGGGCAATGCCTGTGCTATCCTCTTGAACAGATTCTTGACGTTGTGGCCAAGCTTCGCGCTGGTCTCCACAAACATCAAGTTGTTCTTCTTGGCCTCATCCTCTCCCTGCTGTGTCGTAACCTCTCGCTTCTCATTCAAATCCGTCTTGTTGCCAACCAAAACAATGATCACGTCGTTTCCTCGCTCGGCTCGGACGTCGTCGATCCACTTCTTGGTGTTCTGGAAGGACTTTGCGTCTAGAAATCCTGTTAGATCACGCGTAACCGGGCGCGGCATCTCGGAGCTCTTGCATACTGGAAATATCATACACCACAACCGCTACGCTGGAATCTCGAATGTATGAAGGAATCAAACTTCTGAATCGTTCCTGGCCTGCGGTATCCCATAGCTGTAATCGTACTGTTCTGTCCTCCAGGTACATAGTCTGCTCCATAGTTAGCCCCCCTGAATATCGAATCGCGGTCTGGTGCTGGGCCAACCTTTGAGAGGAAATCGATACCGATCGTAGCCTGATACGTGTTGTCGAAGGAGTCGTACATGAACCGCGTGATAAGAGATGTCTTCCCCACTGCAGGTTGCAATTAGCATGTGCTTTGCGCCAGGTCGTAAATAAAACATCACATACCGCTCTGCTCGCCCAAAAACACCAGCCTGAAAATTGACGGTTAGTACCAATGGCCTCGATGGTCAGATAGCTTGAACTTACTTGAATTTCTTCAAGGGGTTGTTGTATCCTGCCTGCGCCATCTTGACAGCTAACCTTTAATAGCCCCTGGGATAAGAAGTCGAATGCTGAGAGTAAAGGTGTTGGGATCCGGTCAAATCGGTGATCAAAAAAAGTCGCCGATATCTATATTCGAAGGGGGAGAGACGTTGTATCCCGGGCACCTTTTTGGAGTGTATGGTAGATGATCCAACATCAATCGGTCCAGGAAAGGAGATTAACTCGGTGACGCTTCACGTCTCTGGAAGGTGCTGAGCAAACGGTAATAGCTTGCACGTGGCTGCACTACAAAACGGAATCCTATATCAATACGGCCAACTCCGTTATGTACCGCAGCCACATACGGAATTTTATCGATAAGAAAAGTGGATGCTCAGATAACGGACAGGCTGAAATCTCCACTAAAAAATTGGAAGAATTGAAGAGCGTCCCCCACCACATGCAAAGTTGAGCATCTATACTTGACTTGGACCAGTTTTCAGGGTCCTTTGAATTGAAAGTCGCCAAGATGCCTGTGGTCAAGTCATCTGTCTCGGGGTCTGTTGACGCCCCCAAGACGTTCAATCAGCCGTCGCGAAAGGGAAAGAAGGCATGGAGAAAAAACGTTGATGTTACGGAGGTCGAGGAAGGTCTCGAGGAATTGAACGAACAAATCATCAGCGGGTAAGGCTCCTCAACGCCCGAGTTTTCACGTCTTATGGTTCTCTAACCCAATTTCTACAGTGGTGTCATCCGGGAGAAGGAATCCGCAGAACTCTTCACCCTCGACCTGACTGGCGATGCCGCGATCCCCAAGAAATTCCCCAAGCACGTCAAGAAGGGACTGAAGGCGGACGAAATCCTCGCTCAGCGATCCTCCGTCCCCGCTGTGTCGATGCGCAAACGCCCCAGCGCCAAGACCACCGATGGCGTCCTGCCCGTCAAGCGCCAGCGCACCGATTGGGTCTCTCATAAGGAACTCGCTCGACTCAAGAAGGTGGCCGATGGCGAGCATGATAGTACTCTTCAGCTCAAGGATGCATCATACGATCTCTGGGACGCCCCTGTCGAGGAAAAGAAGAAGCAGGACTTCATCCCCCCCAAGGTCGAAGCGAAGGTGCCCAAGTCGATGAAGCAAAAGCCCATTTCACTTGTTGCGAGCGGAAAAGAAGTCCCCGCTGTGCAGAGGCCCACCGGCGGCTACAGCTACAACCCTCTGTTTTCCGAGTACGAGGAAAGGTATACGGCGGAGAGCAACAAGGCAGTTGATGCCGAAACCAAACGACTCGCTGACGAAGAGGCTGAGCGCCTCAAACAAGAAGCCAGCGCGCGGTCTGCCGCTGAGGCCGAAGCCGCCGAGGCACGTGCAAACTTGTCGGAATGGGAGGAAGACTCAGAATGGGAGGGCTTCCAGAGCGGTGTCGAAGACAACGCCGTCTCCGCAAAGCGCCCTCAACGCAAGACTCAGGCTCAACGGAACAGAATCAAGCGCAGAAAGGAGGACGAGCGTCTAGCCAAGCACAAGGCCAATATGAAAGCCAAGCGCATACAGGAACAACGGATCAAGGAAATCGCCGAGGAAGTCCAGGACAGAGAAAATGCCAGAGCCCTCATTCTTCAAGAAAAGGAGCAGGCTTCAGACTCTGGTGAGAGCGAGATCAACGACCAGAAACTCAGAAGGAAGCAGATCGGAAAGTTCAAACTTCCAGAGAAGGACCTGGAATTGGTGCTGCCAGACGAGCTGCAGGACTCCCTGAGATTATTAAAGCCGGAGGGCAACCTGCTAAAGGATCGATACCGGAGTATGCTGGTCAGGGGCAAGGTGGAAGCCAGGAGACATATTCCCTTCAAGAAGCAAGCCAGGAGGAAAGTCACAGAGAAGTGGACACACAAGGATTTTGTCATTTAGACAGCCAGCATCTGAGTTTGTTTTATTGCATATGAATATCAGTTTAATGCTCGTTGTCTTTCCCTTTTCCATGACTCAGAAACAAACGAAAATTTCAAACTAGGCTCTTATGAATACATCCTTTCATGTCGTAACTCTATATTAGATGATGATCGCAGTACAAGAAAAGCGGTACCTTGGTATATCGGCTTAAAAGCTAATTAAATCTTTTGGGAAGTTAGTTCCGATCACCAATTTATAGATCAAATATTGATGTGCTCACCTCGGCCAAAAAGACCACGTTTTGCCCAATCCATGGCCATGAGCATTCTGGTTCTAAAGCTCACGCTCTGGGCGAAGTAAACAGATCGCCATGTGTAAACTGCCCAAAGGCCACCAGAAATGTTCCAGCCCTCGCCCAAGTCGAAAACAGCAGAGTTGCCGATGTATGCCAAGCTGCCAAGATGATGATACTCGAAAGCCTTGTACGCTGCAGCGTCCAGATCGCCATCTTTGACATCATTTGCCAGTAGACCTTGCGACAGTCGTGCCATCTTGTTGAACTTGTGAGCCAAGTACTGGCCTTGCTGATGGGCTCTCTGGGCGGTAGCGGGAAGGGATGTCAACTTCTTGTCAATCTGACCAAGAAGCTCTCGCAGCTCGCCAAAGTCAAGAGTGCCAGATTTGTCTTTATCGAATTCCTCAAATAGCTTGTCCAAACGCTTAAGATGCTCGCTCGCCTGGGGGAAACGCTTCCTCACATCCTGGGCAACGTATCGCCAGTCGCTAAAGTGAAGTTGAATGGTCTCGGGGTCCTTGCCTTGCTTCCATGCAAGAGTACGGAGGAATGTAATAATGTGGTTAGCGACGTTGTTCTGAACAGTCGAGCAGTCTCCAATAGCATAAACATCACCCAACGGGGCACCTTTCAGCCGCAGATGAGTGTCAGTCTCCAAAGCATGTCGATTGGTCTGCGCATCACCCAACTTCTTCGCCAAAGTTATGCTGAATGCGGTTGGCGATACGCCGGTAGACCACAAACAAAATCCGGTAGGAAGCTCCTTCGTCACAACTGACCCGTCCTCCAATTTCTGAGAAAAGATAATTTTGTCTTCCTTAACCTCCTTCACTCGTGAGTTGGTCAGCACGTCAACTTGATCACGATTAAACCGCTCCTCAGCATACTTAGACACCGCCTCGTCGTAGGTGTTCAGGATGTGGCTTCGGCTCTGGATGATATGCACGGAAATTTCATTTCGAAGAAGGCGGGGGAAGTGTCGCGAGAGGTCCTCGTTCAGGAGATCATATAGCTCCGCTGCGAACTCAACACCAGTCGGTCCTCCACCACTGACGACAAATGAGAGCAAGCGTTTTCGTTCCTCGTCCGAGGTGGTTGGCAAGCAAGCGAGTTCGAAGTTTTGGATCACTCGGTTACGGATCTTTCTCGCGTCATCAACGTTCTTCAGAAAGAAGGCGTTTTCCAAACCTTTGACGCCGTGGGGGTTCGTGGTGGAGCCCACAGCAATGACCAGCTTATCGTAGGGAACATAAAAGCGCACTTCCTGCCCATTCACGTCCCGCTGGGACACCTCGACAAGTTTGTGGGAGAATTCAACATCTTCGGCCTGCGCGCGGATGAAATGACCTCGACACCTGTGAAGGATGCGCCGAATAGGCTCAACGAGAGATCGCAGCTCCAGGGTTCCAACGGTAGCAGACGGTAGCATGGGCGTAAAGAGAAAGTAGTTAGTAGGCGAAATGACGGTGACGTGGTATTCGTCGGGGTTGAGATCTTTGAGGAGCGCGACGCCACCCCAGCCGCCTCCGAGGACGACCAGCCGGGGCTTCTCTTTCATCGCCCGGGTCTCCTCAGTGTCGTCGTCGCCAATGAAGACTTCGGCGATCGGCAGGTTCTTGGGCCCGCCGCGGCGGGGCTGCAGAGCTAGCTCCGAGAGATTGATATCGCTGTGGGTAGCTTCCTCCTTGTAGGTGGACGCATCATAGATAAAGAAGGCAACGATGCTGACTCCAATGACTGTGAGCGAGGCACCAAGCCATGCTGCGGCTCTGAAGCAGAAATTGAGGATGTACGAGTTGCTTTGTCGGAGGGGCTTTCCAGATATCGCGCGGACGAAGAAATTGGCTGGAAGCGAGCTGCGCTTCAATCTGGAAGCTGCGCCAGGTCGATGAGAATTGAATAACGTCCGCGAATGGTGCAAAACAATCGCACTGGGGTTTGCGCAGGTCCTGGGCGCGGATCGCAGACCGGCAGCGATCAAACGAGCGCGTGGCTGCAGAGAAGCCGACATCATCGTCAATTGCCGCTCTGTGGGTGAAGGAATGGCAGCTCGGCCAGTTGCAGGAGCTGGGCTCGGGGGGGATGCTCGAATATCAATCAATCAATGTCCATGGAAGCAGAGGAAATGCCTCGCTCTATGACTGGAGGCCAAAAGGACCGAAAGCTCATGGGATCTGGAGGGCTTCGCATCCGATGCTTCCAGCGATTGGGTAATGGAGTGATAATGCTTGACAAAGCTGGAGCTCCTGGTCTAGTGTTATGACTAGCACCATGACATCACTTCATTCGCTCGCGGCCTCGCCTCGGCGCTTCGCTTCCGAGTTGCCGCGACGGGAACAAATCGACTAAGATGCGAGGAGGGAGATTATCAGATTGCAATTGCCTTCCAGGTGAGTGCCAGAAGAAATGAGACATCAATTCGGGTAAAGTACTTTGGCAGTATAAAACCAAACAAATTGACAATCTTAGCGTATCGTCTCCTATATAAGCTGACAATACTGCTCGCAGACTCAAAAATAGCACATTTGATGGTTGCATTTTTTTAAATTGTACCTACCCTGTATCACATTTCACATCACCAAGGCTTCAAGCTTGATGACCATCCAACCCTATTTAATTTCAATTAGATTGGAACATGTTGAGAGATAACTCGATTCGAATGGCTAATTCGAAACCCAAAACTATTTTACCTTTATTAACCAAAGCTGTACGCTGTTCCCCATCATTCAGCTTAATATGGCAGATCGTGTCCGCCATCACGTAAGTTCGAAATAAGAGACACACCACTAATACAAGCTCTAATAATTACCTCAATCCCCGAAGATGATGTCTTGAACGGGAGCTACGATCTTCTAGAACAGAGCCAAAACCATGCATATAGAGAATCAATTAACAGTGGGGTAGGATATAGCACAATTTTGTTCAAGAGTGAATTTACAGAAACACGCAGAAGGTCTTCACAATGCCATATTTCTTAGGTTGTTACATTCTCTACCCACGTCCCTATAGTGTATCCGATTATATAGGTAGCGCAGTATTAGGCGGTAGACGACTGCATGCTAAGGCGATAGAAATCCCCGATCTGAACTCCCGTAACTTGGCATAACGCACAGGACGGTCAAAGATGCATATGCTGTGATAGATAAACTCGTGGTTCTGCGAGCAAGTAGCCACACCCATGTGCGGTATTGTTCCAATCTAATCGAGTCTCGGTGATCTTTGGGAAATCTCCAGTAAGTGGATCACTCACATTTGATATTTGGCGGTCGAAGATATTAAGGGCAATTGTGCATGAGTCCGCAGATCAATCAAAACCATGGGCGTCGGGCTAGCTTCCACGACCTGCTGATGATGGAAACTTATGTATGTGGGACTTGTGAAATTGCTATTAATCCTGAAGGCCATGTGGTGCCGGGCTAGTTCTGGCTGCCGGCTGTTGATGTAACGAGATTTACAATTAACTTCGGACAAAATGGATGGCCTTTTGCTTAAGATTGGCATTTGAACAGCACTTGCGTGAAGTGCGTTAAATGTTATATGTAGCCTACTGCTCTTTCATTAACGAACAACATGATCACACAATCACACTAGCAATTGACTTCTTGCAAGAGCCGGCCTGCCTGTATTCTTTGGTGCCACTTTTCTTTACCCTACATAGTTTATCTCTTTTTGTCGAATTTTCATTTCCATTTCTTTCTCTCCTATTCGAAATGGTCGGCGTTAAGCAACTCAGCCTGGCTGCCGTGCTCTGGCTTGGACTCGCTAGCCGTCGATTCGCCCTAGAGATTGATGAAACCAACAACGACCTCAACCTTGCCTTGTGGCTAGATATAATCTTGGTTTCGAAACTCGCGACCTCAACTGGAATCTTGATCTTGGAGAGTGAGATGAGGATTCTGATCTTAAAGTTCGGGATGAGGATGCTGATCTCGAGGCTCGTGACGATCTTGTCTGGTAGTATACACTAGAGCCAGCTCAAGATACGGTGCTTTCGGCCACCGCCATCGCACACGAGGCCTCAAGTCCATAGAGGAGGTGGCTTAGGCTCTGCCGGTGCCCGTGACCACCATCACTAAGAAGATGGCATTGGAATCGGCGAACCTCCTAGAAGCTCTGCTCGGGGTTCGAAGAAGATGGCTTCCTCAGGGGAATGGCGACGTTCCAGAAATGTCTTCGGAATGACGAAGAAGCCACAGATCCCAGGGAGGCAAGTTTTTGACCTCAGCAATGGGAACGAATGGAATGAAAGCGGTCTTTGTATATCATATCTACAGACGTAGAGTTTATTTTAGTTGAACAGGGTATTTCGTGTTAGCTAGGGCTTGATTTGTGGTATGACTTGGCTCACCAGCCTGTTTTGTTCTTGAACAACTTTTAGAATTGAGGATCTCCACCCCATTGTATGATGGGTTTATCAATTTCACAGATTCACTAGATCCTCTGCTACCCAGGGCCGAGGACTACCAGCGATGCAGGACAACTCTTGTCCATGTTGAGGGACGCACTATGCGCTGTAGTTGTTCTCTACGCACAAACCTTTGTAAACGGCTTATAGTACCTTCAGTATTTGTTTTCGTACACATGCCTTTGCTATCTGTTCCTTTTCAGCACAAAGTCTCATGTTAAGAAACTCACTTTGTTGTCCATCCTTGGCGAGAAGGCCATCTCTTTCTTCCTCCCCTGCTAATTGCAAGAGAGGTACAAACTTATATAAACTCAGCTTTCAACTGAAACTTATGCAGGGTAGTTAGCATCTAACTCACAACAAATCTCTTAAACTACTGTCCTATATTCAACTTGAACCACAATACGCTCTTTGTTACCAGAGAAACATGGCAGAGGGACAGCTTGCTTATTATGGTGGGGCAGAACCATTCAAAAGCGATGTATACTCGGTAAGCGACGGTGCTCCCGGCTTGCAAGCGTTCAACTTAGGGTTGAATCATCACGACATGGTGATTGTTGTTTTTGGGAAGGGAGGAGATAGAACTCAAGTGCTGCACCTACAAAATATCCGCGAGGATACGCTTTCTGAGGCCGGGACCGCCATAAAACAATTCCTGGACAACTTCGGATCATTAGGTGATGGTGTCTTTGTTCAGAACACCGTCTTCCAAGATTATGGTTCGGTCTACGATGAGCTGGATAGGATTGTTCTTGATATTGACTTTGGGGTCGATAACGTGGAGAAGGATTTAATCAATATAGAAAACGACAGCTCCAACTATCCGAAGATAGTCAATGGCACGACGGCCGGGAAATACAACCCGGTTTGTGAGTTGTTTGATGCTTGCAACGAATTTCGGGACCGGCTCGGTTCAATCATGGAGAAAGCATCTGGTCAAGCTTACCCTGAGAAATTCGGGGAGATATGGATTACGGGCTCCTACCCACCCCACCAGTGTCTCCTAACTTATCTTGAAGAGCAGAGCGAAGGTCGGGACCTCAAGTTCTATTGGGAGACGCATGGGAACAATAGCTCCAGTGGACAGCGAACATTCTATGTGCGTTCTTAGGACGATCTAGAGTGGGTGCAATGCCTAAAGGAAGAGGTAGAATAGCGCTTTCTCGGCTACATTTACTCTTCGCAGCCAATAGGATGACCGGAAGGAAGTATGTGATTAAAACAATCAGTACTTTGACTCTGAGCTTGCGGGAGAGAAGTGGTTCACGTTAGTAGTACCTGTTAGAATTTAACTAGAAAACCCAGTGTCTTGGGCTGGCTTTACTAGCAGAGGGTACAATGCTCAGTACGGCAATTGATTGGTTCTCCACCTTGAATAATCCCTGTAGCCAAAACCCATTTACGCGCTCTCACCTTAGAACAAACGCGTATTTTAGTGATCCCAAACGCGTCTCGCAACAGCATTTAACATCATCATGCGATACAATTAATACGAATTACATCAATTCCTCGCAGCTTTTATATCAAGCCTCAAATACACCATGTCGCAACCAATGCTGGAAATTGAAAACCTGACCAAGTCAGGCGAAGTCAAGTCGACCGCCCACTTACTGCCATGTCGCGTGCACCACGATGGATCTATTGATCCCATAGATTCATTCTGGACGCCCACTGATACTGAGGGTAAGAATGAACCAATTTATTGCTAAATGCGTGGGGAATTCTAACACATCATCTAGAAGGGAAGAAAGAAGCATATTTCCGAGGTCGCAAGCTCCACGCGAAGGCTGTTCCGTTACCAAGCCAATTCAGAGGCATCGTGGCAGAACGACACGCGGCAGTACCTCAGCCAACGGATCCCTACGCGCCGATCGATCTGGAGAAGGAAGATGACGACGATGCACCCCCGGTGGACAAGATGAAAGCGCTCGCGGAGTTCGATGAGATCATGGTATGGGGTCACGAGAATGTCACCAATGCCGCCGATGATACCTATGTAAGAAGCTTGGAAGAATGGGTTGAAGCTTCGGAGCGGGTAAGATGATCGACATCATGGAGGAAGTGTAGAACTGACGCATATTAGATTCATTCCTACGAGGAGGAGACTCCCACCGAAGCGAAGTGAGCAGACACTCGAATACTGAAAAAAAGAAAACACCATCCAGCGTCAAGGGGCATCCTTGAAGCCCTGCGTGACCGAGACAATATGAGCGGTTCAGCTTGCGGATACTAAGGAGAAGGTAGCTGGGATACTACCGACCTGGAATGAACCGCAAACTCTTTCGTCGAGCCGGCATCCTCGATACTTATAAATCAGGGTGCTGACATTAGATGCAACACCACTCAGAAACCGCTGTAAAGGACTTGAGTATACGCCTCCATATAAGGCTTCATGAATCATGGATTGGCTTGGAATGAACCTGTACGGAAGGAGGGTAATTGCTCACTGTATGGGTGGGCTATCAATTAAGACACAAGTCAACAAAACGCCATATGCATTCATGTTTATACAAATATGGAAACGCCTTCCTGTGCTGTTTACAAAGAAAAGATCTAGCACCTGAAATACTTCTGCTCAACCCAGCGCGGTTCTTGAGTGTCTAGAATGTTGCAGACCACAACGGTGACTTCGGGGAAGACAGTGGTCAGGCGGTGCAGGCCAACTCTGCCGGCCGAATAAGTGGCAATGACAATCCGATCAAGCGCGACGCCGTGATCCACGAGGACCTGAACCGCCATGAGAGCAGCACCTCCGCTAGCCATCTGAGTATCCAGAAGTAGTACACTCTCATGCTCGTGAATGTCCTCGGGTAGTCTAATATAGTGAAGCTCTGGTTCGCCAGTGGAGTAGGCGGACTGGATTAGGAGACGGCCTGTCCTGCAGTCCGGAATTGTCTTTCGGAGAGCAGATTCGAATGCGGACCCTCCTCTCAGGCAGATCACGGCGCTGACTTCGCCCTTAGATACGAGACCAGCGTACTTGTTTCCCTGAGGGGTTTCAACGTTCCAGCTCTTGAACTGAACGTTGTTGAGAGCCCTGGTGCTCTAGTGTTAGTAATATATACACTTAATGAGGGCTTCTGAAATTTTGTGTGAATACTTACTGTTCAATGATTAGACTGGCGAGTCGGTCGAAGTAGAAGATGAAGTCTTCAGCATCAGTGTCAATGTTCTGCAGAATGGTGTTCATGAACTTGAGCTGCGGTGTTGGGTTGACAACCACAACCCGCTCTGATAATGGCTGCTCCTTGCACTCCATTTCGAGCTTGGAGAGGGCTTCCCGATGATGGGTGGACTTCTCAAAGAGCTTGCGTTCGATATACTGAACCATCATTTCTATCTTCCGTGAGCATTTAATCAGACGTGGCCATGTCTGAAGGTCTGGACTTACCAAGAGCAACTCTGTTTTCGATACCTCGTGGTACAATGAGATCGGCCACCTTCCTCTGGGGTTCAACATACTGCGGGTCCAGGTGTTAGAAGGCTTTAAGGCTCAATGAAAATTCATTGCGGACACACCTTCTCAAAGTTGGGCTTCACGAACCCGAACCACTGCTTGATGCAACCCTCGACATCTCTGCCACGCTCACGGACGTCTCGAAGGACTAGTGAATTACGTTAGTTTATCTTTCATTATGAGTTGTTGGAGGGTGAGCCTACTTCTCCTAGAAAGACAAGTGTCTGCATCGGCTTCACAATAGATCTGAATATCCAGCACATTAGCTGGGGAAAGGCCACCAGGGACTAAGCGGGCATCATACACCCATGTCGATAAGCTCCAACACCCTGGGGTCATATAAGGCGAAAATGCCCTCGAGAATGAGCACGTGAGGAGAGTAAATTGACGTTGTTTCTTCCAGTCTTTGATGCTTCGAGAAAGAATAGACGGGGATCTCTGCCCGTTTTCTTGGTTTGACTGTTAGCTTCCTTGGGATCTGCCTGAAGGACGAAGAGAGATGGAGCCTTGTCCTTACCCGGCCTTAAGATCCCTCAAACGCTCCACGAGGATGTCAAAGTCAATAGCCTATTGAGACTGGTTACTTGGTTTGGCCTTTGAAGGATATCCCTTGTATACGGAATTTGACTATACCTCGGGAGAATCGAAATCATATTCATTTGCAAAGGCCAGCTTGGACTGGGCGGGAGTCAAGGTTTTGTAGAATGAATCCTGACTTTCTGTTAGCTAGAGATCTCGGGCTTCTGGCCGGTAAAGTATTTTCGTGCCATTGACATAATTACAACCCAAGGCAGATTGAGCTTTCTAACAATCGCCTGGGAGATACTGGACTTCCCAGAACCAGAGCTGCCAGCTATGGCAATAATGCTGACATCCGCCCATGGTGGGGAATAGTAGGCTCGCTTCTGAACAGTGACATGGCTCTCGAGCTTGGACATTGCTACTCTCCCAACGGGTTGATGGAGGGTTGATCTTCAGTGTTGAATCGGCAAGCGGCCAAGACTTAATAGCCGAGTCAGATGGGGGTGGGCTTGCGAAGCTTGCGAAGAGGTTCGGCTTGTAGGCGGAATTCTGCTGAACTGGACTGTGTTGCTCGGATTAGGTTTAGTGGGAAGTTTCGCCTGGGGTTGTTATCATCACGGCTCCGCTTAAGAGAGGGATCTGATAGCGAGCGTAGGGTTCTGTGCTGCTGTATACACAGGCCCGATTTCATGGAAGGAGAAAATTTCGAGCCCTGGATCCTGGATGCAGGCGAAATAAAGTGCGCCTATGAAGGATCAGGTGAAAGCCCTCTCGGCACCAAGGCTGTGAAGCTTGATGGTCGGTTTATTGCGTTCTACTGGCATTTGGGCTAAGTTATATAGACACGACTGAGCCCAGCTGGCCGCCTCGGCTGGCTGAAGAGGCTGGCTCACGGGGAACGATCATGGGGTTCGGTCTTCCCTGGGCCAGCCGTCTGCTGTTTGTGGTGGCACTAAGGTGTGTACTAACTAAGGCTGTAGCGGTGAAAGGTGGTTGCCAGCCTTTAGCAGACACATTGGCCTTGAGAAACTCTAGGCAGAGAACAACACAAGGGCTGAAGACATCAGGCAATAGCAATGCTTTCTGGACAGCACCACTTGTAAGTTGTACGTTGGTCTCGAGCTACGTTGCACCGAGCTGGAGTGGAGAGGTGATAGCGCAGGAGCCTCCTTGTGACACCTGAAGGTCAGCTTCACTAGCGGGACGCATAATCTTCGGCCCGTGGAAGTGGGCCTCCGTACCTTCTTTAGAGCTCCGCGGCGCAAGTTCTGCTCTTTCATTTCTTTCCATCACAAACTCTGACTCCAAGCGACTTTGCTTTCCCTGTGCACGTCAGCTGTGCGTGTACTTCAAAGCCTTGTGACACGCGGCACGCATTGCAAATGCGTTAATACCTGGATCGTATCCGGCAGTTGCCAGACTTTCACATCTGCTACGCGCTGTTTAGATTCTGAAGAGTGAGAAGAAGAGGAACTGGACACCACCAAAATGGTGCGTCATGGCCCATAGCCAGATGTCGCATGTCTTTTAACATAGACACCAGGCGTCCTCGACATCAACAACCACGCCGAGCAAGCATGCGTTCACCCAGCGCGTGCAGGATGTTCGATGCCCCAAAAGGTATGTGCCCGTCTCATCTCCGTTTTCCCTCCCTCACCCCCCACGTTGAATGATGATTTTTTATATCAATGGGAATCTCTCCTAGCAAATTGATGCGGAGAAACGATATCACTTCTTTTACCTGATTCATGTCATGCAACTCATACTTGTTATTGGACACCTGGCATGAAGCATCTAGCTAATCAGTGGACTAGTGATATCAACGCATTGATCCTGGATTACTTGACTATGGAAGGCTATTCTATGGCCGCTGCCAAGTTCTCCAAGGAAGCCAACCTGCAACCCCAGCAGGATGATGCGTCGATTCGATCGCGGCAAGAGATCCAGCACTATATCCATATAGGGAATTTCGAAGCCGCCATTGAGTCCTTGAACGAGTATGACCCCGCGGTAAGTTGCGCATGCCTTTTTGAAGTACATTTTCACTCTTCTCCCCCCTACTATATGATTAGAACACGAGTTTTACATGCACCACGCTGAGCCCTTCGGGCCTTGGATGAGAAACAACCACTTTATTATGATATTTGCCTACTTTAATCTTCTTGTCTTCATCTCCAGTTTGTTTGATGACACCAGGAAGCTGACCGTATGACACAGATTCTTGACGAAGATGAGTCGTTGCATTTTGCGCTGTTGCGACTGCAGCTAGTTGAACTCATCAGGGTCTGCAATGGTGATGGCGGCGATATCACCGAAGCACTAAAGTTTGCTCAGGAACATCTTGGTCCTCGTGCACCTGTTAACCCTCAATTCCTGGAGGACCTAGAAAAGACAATGGCCTTGCTTCTCATTCCACAGGAGTCTCTTGAACCTCCATTGGCTGCTCTGCTCGACCCCTCGATTCGGCGGGAAACTGCCGACCGAGTAAATCGGGCTATCATGGAGAGGCAGTCTCGAAGAGTCATAGCCGGAATCCGCAATCTTGTTAAAATGCGATGCTGGGCTGAGAACACAGCTCGAGATTCGGGAGTTCCTCTTCCTGACAACATTGACATTGGCCTGCATGGCGATGATTCTGATTCGCTTTCCAACTCTCTTACCCACTCGGAGAATGGACGTCATTTCGATAATGGAACACATCATGAGAATGGCCATGAGCCTATGATTACGACCTGAGAAGGATCTTCGTCTAGAGATCAGAGGCTGCCCTCGTATCTAAGGGGGAGGTCAGTGCCGTAAACTGCCTGAGAAGTGGACAACAATTGCCGTCGTGCGTGCGCTTCTTGGTATGAGTGCAACAAGTAGTTAAGCTTCAGGATGCATGACAATGATGATATGATGGATACCTCACGCTGGCGTTCGGATATGGTGTACCGGTTGGTTATAGGTATTGGTTCTCACTAGGGGCGTCTTGGTTCTAAATGGGCGTATTAGAAATGTCATGCTTTACGGTCTGTTAATTTGACACCGGAATTACGCCTACAAATTTGAAGCCGTTCGTTGAACCCTTTTTGTTGTAGCTTGTAATTGAAAATGCAGATTTAACAAAAAAAAGACATCTGACGTTGTGTGAACTGCCTATAATTTTATGTACAATACTTTCGCAGTATCCAGGATCCTCTTCTATTTCGTTCGAATGTGCTTGAGCTTCCTGTCTGAATACAGGAAGTTGTTGGCATATGCCTTGGGAGTGATCTTTCGAGAGTTGGGCTCCTGGACAAAGTACTCGTAGCCCTGCTTGTTGGCGAAGCGGATCGCATCCTCCTTGGTCTTGAAGTTGAGGTGAGTGCCCTGCATAAAGTCTGCAGATGATTGCCATCCCATCAGAGGGTTCTCCCATCGGTGGCCCTTGGAGAGGATATCCCAATCCATACGCCAGTCCTCGCCTCGCCAGGTTCCGGACTGAGTGGCGGCCTTCGATTCCTTGTAGATTCTGGAAGAGAGTTAGAGAAAGGTCCAATTGATATACCGAATACAACAGAGAAGAGTGCAGACGAACCGAACGGTACGGGCTTGAAGCTCACGAGGAGCACCGGAGATGACAGCCGCGGGAAGAATGCCCTCCTCACTGCCATCCTGAATTCGCTTCGGGACCGGGGTGAACGTTCTAGGATGCACTCAATTAGCTTCCAGTCGAACCAAAATCGAGATTTATATCGCGTACGAGGTCGCCTTGTCCGGACGGATGCTGTAGTCGGGCTGGTTGGCGTCCGAGGGAGTGGTGGCCGGGACCTCGACTGGCGCAGGTGTGGTCGAGCTCTCGAAACGCTTGGGGGCGGAGGCGAGAGTGGCGCGAGAGGCAGCCGCTCCCTTGAGGAGCCGCAGGGCGTTTGCCGATCGAACAGAGGCCATGGCTCGATGTGTGCGTCTTGAGCGGGCGATTTGATGGGTCAAGACGTAACTGAGGTTGCGATGTTTGAGGTCGAGGTGATTACCAGCGAGAAAGTGGGGGCCGTTGATTGGCTGGTACGGAGCGAAGATTTTCCCGAAAACAAACGAGCGCTTTTCGGCTGGACCTTGGAGATCCGCCTCTAAGCATTCAATACCTTCCTCGACCAAACAGCTTGCAATTGAGCGTCTCGACGGAACGACGCAAACTACGGAGTCTAATTTTTCACGAGTGAATTCTTCCCGAACCACCGGCATCATGAGCTTCGTCACCCGCCGAGCGCTCTCCACGCTCATCCCTCCCAAGGTCAGTCTTCGGCTATTCCACGAGCAAGGCTCGGAACAAGGGACCAAGCTAACATTTTGTCCTCGATACAGATCGCCTCTCCTAAGGTACGAGACAAATAACTTCTTCGCATGCACTCGCCATGATCAATTGCCCCGCGCCGATAGCAGAGTCCCGCGACGGGCTCTCCCCCAACGACCGGCTTAATCGGGACCACAACGAGTGAATGGACTATCCGCACGAACAAACGAGCTGACACCTTGGGTAATCGATAGGCCATTGGCGCTGCTCCCGACGCCCTGCGCATGCAGAGAGTCGTCAGCTTCTACGAGAAGCTCCCCCGTGGTGCCGCCCCCGAAGTCAAGGCCAAGGGTCTCCTCGGTCGCTACCAGGCCCGTTACTTCGGCAAGAACGCCTCCGTCACGCGTACGTCTGCCTTCTATCATGCTTGCTGTCTGCTAGGGAATTGAAGATTGACATGTCGCGAATAGCCATCATCCACGTTCTGGCCTTCCTCATTGGTATCGGCTACCTCCAGAACTACTACTTCCATCTCCGTAAGTGACACCCCACTAGGGATGTTGTTATATCAAAAAGTCACAAAACTAACAAGAAACCAGGCCACCACAAGAACAATGCTCACTAAAAGGGTGACAAGCTGGAATGGAATCTACCCCTCATGAAGGGCTGTGTACTGTACATAACCTCTAGGAAGTGTCACTGAGCATTGCAAAATATCTCTTTTGTGCACCTACACCTATAAGACTCCTTCTGCACCATGATCACGTGAACTTGTTGTGAAGGTCTGAGATGCGTCAGATGTCATTTGCTTGTGCGCTTTGCTTGTTCAGTGTCTGTTTCAGGGGACGATGTGTTTGAATGTGGTTCCTTCGCTAGCAGCGTGGTTAAGGGGGCTCTAGCATGGATTGCAGTCCCCAAACAAGTGCGCTTGCCATCCCAGTGATGAGTTACTCCAGGCAGAACCCAGACTGAAGGGTCAGTGAGTCATGTGTGATGCGAATGAAGGGCGCAATGCCATGCTCGAGAACTCGCCAGCGGCAGTCCACAGACTGAAGAGATCGGAACACAGAACGCGCTAAACCGCTTTGAGGCACGCCGGGTAGCAGAGGTACGCCATAAGCAGGTACAGCGGTGCTTCCCAGGGCAGCAGCGCTCTTTCAAGGCCAACCAAGCACCTTGCACAGATCCGATTCAATCAATTTCCATCTTATTATTAGTTCTGCTGAATGGGGGGGAAGCCAAGAGGAGAAAAAAAAGCAATACGTAGCCCCCAGCCAATTAAGTTCGGCAAACGGCTATTGGACTCATGCAGGCAAATTCTCTCGCCCATTCGGATCAGACAATTAGATAATACCTGCGTGCGCGTGTTCACATCCATTCATTCGGAGTTTCTTTACCTTGGTATTGCTTTGCAATCGTGAGCGTTTTGGTGGCGCTAGGCCGAAATCAGGTGCGCTGTAGCTCTCAAGATTCAGCGCCTTACCAGTAGCCAAACTCAGGTGTTACCCATCCACTTTCCAACCTCACCTCACATATTGCAGCCGCAATCTCCAACACCTCCTCTTCCCTCGGCCACAGTCACCCAGAAGCCGGCCCTTTTCCGACCATATTAATCGAGTATCCCTTCGCGGCGAGCCTTCCGAGGCCTTTACCCACTTCAGCTCTTGATACCTTACCCTTACTCTTCAGATCGATCTTTGTTCGCATTAATAGCCACATTTATTACCTCTCCGAGCCTCTCCTTGTCGCCAGCCTGCTCCACGGACACAGCGTTGGTGATCAAGGCCGGCTCGTCAACAAGGCGCGTTCGCAACCAGATTTTCGGCGCTGAACCGTCACGCAGCCGTGATCGCATCACCAGAAGGTGCCGCTCCACGACGTATGATGGCCACTGCGCCCACCATCGATAGCCCTGCCGATGTTCCTGTTGCCTCGTCTGAACCTCGCTTTGTGAGTCACTTTTCCCTTGCGCTTCTTGCGGAGCAAGCCCCGAACCCTTGGAGACTAGCAGACAAGGCTTTTCGTTCGTTTTTTTGCAGGGTTCCCCGCTGACGCAAACGCACATACAGGCCGCCGCTTCTCACGATGTCGACCCCGATGTACCGATTGTAAATGGCACGGCCAGCTACGGAGATATCGAGAACAAGCACATTACGAACATCGAAGACTCTTCGGCTCCCACCGAAGCTAGTGTTAGCGGAGGTTCCGACACCGAAGCCTCGCGAGCTGATGGATCTAGGCAGGGCAAGGATGATGAGAAAGGCCACAACCGGGCGGGCTCATCTATCAAGAAGCCGGCAACATTCAAGGCAGTATCAGTCAACAAAAAGTTCCTCGCATCCAAGGTGACCACCCCTGGGGCTACGGCGAAAGCAGGCGACATATCCCGACCGAGCTCGAGCACCCCTCCACCAGGAGCCCCAACACCGAGCGGCTCGAAGCCACGTTTGATCGCGAAGACTGCGCCGGGGGCAGGGTCGAGATTATCATCTCTGGTTAATGGGGGGAAACCGGCATCTGCCCCAGACGCAAGCGCCGTTTGGAATAAGAACAGACGTAGGTGACACCTGTATTGTTTGCCCACTGACTTTGTACTGACCTACCTTTCGTGTAGCCGTTCCGGTTGCCGACCCAAAGAAATTAACGGACGAAGAGCTCAAGAAATATGGAATCCACGTGGCTAGTCGCCTTGAGGAGGAAGATATTCAGGGCCAGAGTAAATGGGCAGATCTAGATGACGACGACGACGATTGGGCCCCCGAAGCGATCACTTGGACTGATGGAACTAAAACTACCCTTCCGCACCCGGAGGAACACCCTCCTCCCACTCCCACTGTTGCCGAAAATGCACCAGCTCCAGTGCCGCCGAAGAGCCTTGTCCCTGAGAAAGCACCATCTCCTGCGCCTCCCCCCTCTACGAGCTCACCACTTCCGAAGCCTTCTGGGCTAGCTTCCGGTCGGGGATTGAAACTTAAGGCGTCGCCCCAGGAGAAGCCAACTCTAGTGGCGAAGCCACCTGCCCCTCCGCAACCTAACAAGTCTCCCTGGGCTACCCTGCCACCTGTTGAGAAGGCGTCTCCGCTAGTAACTGAACCAGGACTACGCGGGCAGCTCAAGGATTCGATATCCCATAAAGGCGGGCCTCCGTCTGGGTTGCCACCAAAGGAGATGGCTGCAGATGACTTTAGTCGGCCGACATGGAGAGATGGTTCTGTCCATGCCAACCGGGAGTTGTTCAACTCTCAATCTGGACGGTATGAACCTGTGGCTGAACGACGAGGCTCACACTCACAATCCAAGCACCCGGCACTGCTGCAACGTCCAGTACAAGGCGACCAACCTGCGGAGCCCTCCAGCTCCTTCCAGACCTATAGGCAATCACAAGATGGGCATTTTGGTCGACGCCGGGGTTCTTCCAACATCAGTGGTGGGAGTGGTTCGTTCTATCGGATGGGCAAGGGCAATGAAGCCCAAATGCCAGGTCACGAGCACTTAGAAGTCCGAAGACCTTCTCAGGCGGGTTCAATTGATAGCCCAATTTCGCCCGCTGCGATGCCTGCCCGACACCAAACGTCCCAAGGCTCATGGGGGCCGCAAATTTCGCCCAGGCCTAACTTTGCACAACTCCAGCAAGCTGGCCCTCCAGGGCCTGGCGCGATGCCTGTACAGCAACCGGTTCAGCAGGGTGTGGATGAGATAGAATATCAGAAAAAGCTCATGAGAGAGCGTAATGAGCTCGCCCGCAAGCGCCGCATGGAGCAGGAAGCAGCCGAGGAGGCCGCTAAGCGAGAACGTATCCAGAAGAAGTTGGAAGCAATGGGCCCCCCTCCACCAAAGAAAAGCGACAAGGTCGAGCCTCAGACAGGAAGTGACGGACCGAAGCCTACGCAGATCCAACAGCGCGAACAGTCTGAGAGTTCCGCAGGCCCCGTTCAGCCATCCACCGCTAAGTCCGAGGAAGCTGCTCAAGTTCCCGCCGAGTCTAGTCCTGCTGCTGGATCTGTGAATACAGCTGTGACGCCAGAGACAGCTTCGAAGAGGCTTGCTTCCGACCAAGAGGCAAAACCGGACATTTGGACCGGTTCCAGGACACGGACTGATCGGTTTACCCCATGGGCTCCAGGCTCGCAACCCCAGAATAGAAACGTTTGGGGATCTCCAAACAATGACCGAGGACTCGGTAATGGGACATTTGATCCGGAACTTGGTCGAGCGCTCAGTGCATCCGGGGCCTCTGCGCCAATTGGAAAAGGTCCTTCGCCCATTGCTCCCCCTGGACCAACAAGTCCGTCGCAATCTCGATCCAAGCAACCTCCTGCGCCAATCGGGTCAAGACCTTCTCGTTTTGTGCAACCTGTGTCTGACCTGGCTTCAAAGTGGGTTGCCTCTGTTGCTGAGGGTGACAAGGCAATCAATGCAGCGAGACTTGCTGACAGAGCCGAACGTGATCGCAAGCTAGCCGAGCGTGGAATGACTGTCGAAGATGTTCAGCCTGTTATCAAGGAGAAATGGCGTCCTGTTAATGTCCCAGGCGACGGAACACGGCAGCCAATGGGTGCAACTGACCCCAACGCTTCTCCCAAGGGTCCTTGGCAGGCGCCTGGGGACGTCCCTCCGAAGGAAGGCTCAATTCCCTCTCATGCAGGAGTGATCGGCACTACGGGCAATTTAGTCCTGCCACACCCATCTCCGGGAACACAATCTCAGTTGCGATCCTCGCGTTTCTTTCCCGCCAAAGATGTGCGGTTGGAGGGGCAAGCCACTGCCCACAGCTCGCGGCCTCAATCGCCCTCGCCTCCTCCCCCAACCATGGATGACCACCCGGCGTATGAAGGCGATGTGATGCACCCTCACGTTTCCTTGCCCAGGCCACAGCCCATCGTGAAACTCCCTCCTTCTCCTCAATCAAACCAGGCCCAGCAGCAACCGCAGCGGTCGAATTTCGCCTGGGCGACACCGGCTCCATTTAGGGACAGCACACGAGCACCCCCGCAGTCCTTGCCGCCTGCTCGCCGGGCTGGAGATGTGTTGGAGAGGGATTGGCAGAAGAAATTCGATAACCTCTTTAGCAACGGGAAGCACCAACACCATATGCCAAGCCATCCCCCGAGCCATCCTCCGAGTCACCCACCGAAATCGATGGTCGTGGATGCTGCCAGTAAGAACGCTCTGGACCACGTCATCCAACCAGATACGGCCACTGTTTCACTACCTGGTCGCACACACACCTCTGTCATGGACGTTATCAGGAATGCAATCTCCAAGCCAATGGCCGAGGAGTGCTTCGATGAGCCAGAAATCGGGTCTCTGCCTCAGGTACGGGTACCTCATAAGGCCCCGGAGGCAGCTTGGCATCCAGCCGAAGCCCAGACAAAGCCTCTTCCGAAACGATTTCTAGTTCATGCGACGGGCGCAGAGTCGCTCTATTTCTCAGCTGAAGTGGCGGGCAATGGCAACGCCATGCATATTTACTTCCCAGGAATGTCGGAATCCAGAACTGTGATTCTTCCTTTCTCTGCTACCCGTGGAGGTCGCGGCGGTCATGGACGTGGCTCAAGAAGCCGCGGAGGTCACCGCGGAAACCGAAGGGATAACTCTAGTCAAGATGACAGAGATACCAACTCG